ATAGTGTTAAATTTAAAGATCAGTGAAACTGGCTCGCCACTAGAACTTAATCTGAATCTCTATCACTGTCCATGATTGCTTCCACTTTCGTGTTCAATCTCTGTGTCGTGACTTTTTTTTTGCTTACTGTTTTCTCTTTAAAACATTAACTTGTCTACCAATTGAGGTTTCATCCTAAGTCTTTTTTTTTTAAAACAGAAGTTCGCCAGATGAAGAAAAAAGTCACGCTGAAGGCACATTTGTGGCTGGAACGGCAAGAACAATATGAGCGAACACAGCTGATTTAGGAAATTCGTTTCACCTTCCCTTGTACCATGCAAAGGGATCAATATTGGGGACCTGTTGCCTTTGTTCACGGTACTGACTAACTCCGCTGCAGGAAAGTTCTCCATAAGGTTTTCTATTTCCTTGGAAATCTTTTATTACAGCAGGAAGGAATTCCAACTCCTTAAACCTGGGATCGAGGGTACTTGCAATTATGGGAACTTTTCCCCAAGGTGGTATCTTCAAAGCCAAATCGCTGCTTGAGCTGATATAAAGCAATTGTTTTAAAATAGTTAAAGGCTGGTAAATCATCCTTATTTAGCTTTTCCACCAATCTGTTGAGAATGGGACAGGTGATGGAAATACTGACATGACTTTTCTCAGAACACATTTCTGTTACTTCGGCCAAGGGCTCCAAAATTTTCGTAAGTTCTCTTGCCAAATACCATTCATCATTACGAAGATGTTTGGCCTAGTAGTGTCTTTGATCAGTTCCTAACCATGGGTCCTTGATAGCCTAGACAATGGTATCTTTCAACTGTATACGACTCTTCAGCATCAGATACATTGAGTTCCATTGTGTTATCATGTCCTGTATTGGCTTGAGTGGTGGAGTGGATGGATCCTTCTCTTTTTCCTTTTCCTGAAGTAAAACCCATGCAGGGTTGGATTTGCGAAAAAAGACAGCCAGGAAACATGCATGTGTCTTGTTTGTACTGTACAAAGATAACTTAGGAAAGCCAAATTTGATGTTTGCAGTGTACAGCAGTGAAAAAAAAGGGGAAAGCTGTAATATTTTAAGTTTTGTAAAAGTTTGAAAATATTGAAATACATGTATCTTAAATACCCGCATATAGTGCGCACGAGGGTAACATTATTCTTCCACTATTTTCTGATGTAATGGTTTTCAAACGATACCCAAAACTCGAGCACTTTTGAATAGTTCACTATTCTTCTTCTTCTTTATTCTCCTCAAGAAGAATGGTGAACAATTGGAAAGGACTCGAGTTTTGGGTCTCGTTTGAAAACCATTACAACTTTTATATGTGATCCTGTATGCTAACTTCTTAATCAGAATTCATATTCTGACCTAATCATTGTTTGTCGCCGTCGGATCACCGGAAGTCAAAAAAGAAACACAACGAAGAGGAATAAATAAACATTTGAACTCCTGACATTTATCTTTTAGACTTCAAGTTATCCATGTAAGATGGATTTATTTTGTCAATCAAATATTATCGGGCAAAACTTTAGATATTTGGGAGCTTTGTGCACTGGGTCGTAAGATTATTTTATTATCTTATGCTACAATACGTCACTCTCCCATGCTTTATGTACAGAGTATTGTTTCAAAACGTGTATACACAACTGAATGACGATCATAACTTCAGCCCCTGTTTGTTCATTAAGTAATACAGTTAATTAGTTAGCTATGGGTTAACTCACACGTGTTATGTAAAATTACTAATCAACACAACGATACACCGCTCGCTATACAAAGGCCGATCAGCTTGTTACAATTGCTCTGCATGGGCATATTGATTTTCCTAGAATTATCTTACATCCACGATGCAGCCACCAAAGCTAGATCATATGCCATGCCAGGAGCAAACATTCAACCCTAACAATCGTATTCCACTTGTGCTAACGTGCCACCAGACCACCAAGAAGATCAGAGATATTATACTAAACAATTACACAGTACTTACTGAAGACACTACCATAAAATCTATTTTTAAGGACCCACCCATTATTTTTTACAGACATGACAAAAACATGAAAGAAATCCTGCTGCACAATAACCTTAAACAAAATGCCACTCCAGGCACTCACACATGTGAACGAAACAGGTGTGTCACCTGTCCACATATAAACAGCACGATACACATACGAGGAAAGAACACAACTTTCGACATAAGACAGTTCTTTACATGTACCACTGAATTTGTCATTTACTGTATAATTTGTAAAATATGCTATAGTTTATACATTGGACAAACAGACCACCGACTCGGTGATCGAGCATGGTAACTTCTAAACCATATTAAACTGCAGAACCAGGATACACCTATAGGCAAACATTTCACCTTAAACAACCATACAGTTGAGGACTTTTCGGTCCTTAGACTTATTAGTGCTCCAACAGACATTCACAAAAGAGAACGACTTCAAAGGAGATTAATCTACAATCTGGGGACCCTACAACCATCTGGTTTAAATGAATGCTTTTCTGTCCTTTAGATTTCTATTTTTTCATTTTTTGTTTAAATTTTAATTGCTAACTGTTTTATCTTATCATGACTTATAATTTTTTTACAAGAAGGGTCCTGGGTGATTCACATCATATGTTGAGCATAAAGGCTGTAACCCTATCATGGAGGGTTAGCAAATACTGTCCATCCATTGCAGTTTATTTGTTGGTTCTTCCGAGGGGAGGGGAATGTTTTCAAGCACAGAGCTTGAAGCCAATGTACACAACTTGCTATACAGATTTCCCCAGGAAGTCTTAGTATAACCATGGTCAGTTACGTATTCTTGGAGACTTTTCACCAGTGTTCTTGAACTAGGCTGATCTGTATGAGAATACCTGTCATTATCAGCAGTTTCTGATGGGTGAGAAGAGCATGAAGTTATAAGAGTGCCTGCTGAAGTATGAGAGAGCACTTAGTCTTCTCCAAGCTCACCATCAGATCAGTTTGGCTCTCCTCTTCTCTGATATGGTTTTTCCCTCTTATTTAGAGCTTTTTTGGATAATTCCTTACAGGGAAATGAAGACATAAATCAACTAGCACTTTTGTAGTAACTAGATCCTAATCCGCAGCACCAAAATTTGGATGATTAAAGTCAGTTGTGGTAATTCAAGAATAAACTTTGCACATAGTCACCCAATATCTGCAATAATGTAGATTTAAAGACCTAGTATGCAAATGTACAGATCTAGAGGCTTATCACAGAAGAAACATTTCTCTGTTTGTTTGTTTTGGATTTCGTGCAAAGCTACACGAGGGCTATCTGTGCTAGCCATCCCCAATTTAGCAGTGTAAGACTAGAGGGAAGGCAGCAAGTCATCACCACTCACTGCCAACTCTTTTACCAACGAATAGTGGGATTGACTGTCACATTATAATGCCCCATGGCTGAAAGGGCGAGCATGTTTGGTGTGACAGGGATTCGAACATGCGACCCACAGATTGTGGATCGAGCACCCTAGCCACCCTAATATTTCTAAAAATATCATCTTCCAACAGAAAACCCTTTTGTATACTCTCTGTACCATTGATGCTCTGCAATAAAACATTTCCAGAAAATAAGTTTATCCTTCCACAGTATTACAAGCCTCCTGAAACACCTTGGCTTCATAAACGACATGTAGTCTGTACTGTTTCTGTGCCATTGATGCTAAAACTTGTGCTCATACAAGATAAATTGAACTTATTGCTGACAATGAAGAAATCTTCTGTACACAGCTCTCTGGAAAGCATTTGTATGCTCTGAGAAACTTGTACACACAGACATACCTTGCTGGTCAGGTGTCTTTTTCCTACTGTCTGGCAAATACTTTTTCAATTTTGAAATGTCAAAATGTGGCACATCATATAAATTTCTTTGCCAATCTCTAAAAATATTCAGTTTCAAAATGTCAATGATTCATCTTTCTCAGTGCTCATCATCGTTTAACTTTTGACTACCTATGCCAAAAAAAGGTATCCTTTAACCAACGTCATTTCACAACGTTACTGTAACTTTCATTGCAGTCTGTATGTAAGAATTGCATTGGCAAGGAAATTAGGAAATGCAAAGTAGAAAACATAGTAATGGTGAGAACCTTGCCAAATTAATATAATTTTATTGGTAAACATGAAAACAACATTTAGGACAACAGCCCTTTATCACTTGAAACCTGATGAAGGGCTGTTGCCTAGAACATTGTTTTCATGTTTATCAATAAAATTATTTTAATTTGGCAAGGTTTTCACCATTATTATATTTTGTATTTTAAAATTTTGCATTTACTTAGTCAGCTAGCATATGGCAAAAATACATTTAAAAGATGTCTAATGGTGGTTATGCAGATCTAATATTCATTACAAAAAAGAACAAAACTGATAATATTTCATTAGGTACTATTTTTGTAATAATTTTAAAAGTACATTACTTAATAATCTTGTGCCAAAAAAAAATTGTATTAAAAGTTTTATTGATAATTTTCAAGTTTATATTTTGTATAATTTAAAACTTTTAATCCAGAGTTAACTTTATATCTGTTACTTTGGTGAATAAGTTTTTTTGTTCAAACTGGACAACAGTCGAATGGTGAGAGCTTAAACAACCATTAATTGAAATACATGTTTATTTGTTTGATCTAACTTCAAAGTTTTACAGAAAGCACACTCCTTGTAAATTGAAAATAAATTAAACTGCTAAAATATAATTATCATCTACTTATTTTTAAGGTAAATTAACAGTAAAACTTTCCTTGCTTTCATACATGTTTTTTATGTATCTCTTAACATATATAAACCCTTAGTGTCAGAAATAAAAGCAACCAAAACATTTTAATCTACTCATTTAAATTAATTAATTAAATTAAACAATTTTCATTGACCTACATATTGTTTCATAAAATGTTTTTGACTTCCTTCTTACATGTGATTACAAGTCGGTAAGTATTGTGTACAGCAAATGATCATAGAAGTAACAACTTTATTTTATAAATGAAAAACACAACTACTACATTATATTTCATATTAATTTATTTAGATCAAATTCACTGGTATCTAGAACCCATTTCTGAACATAAAAGGGTTTCAATACATGCATATATATAACCAATGTCAAAGTATGATACAAAAACAAACTGTAGGCCCCCAGGGCAACAGGAGGTGGTTACAAAATTATAAAGAAGTTCCCAGTAGGTCTCTTAATTTAAGTCAATATAATGTAAAAATGATCAAAGATGAACAAATGCAAGTTCTCTTTATACCTAGTAGATGATATTACTACACATAATTTGGTTTATGGGCTTAAATTAGAAAACTTACTGAGACCTTTAACATTATATGCAGATACTAACAGAGTAACACAGTAAAACTTTACATAACTCTACATCCAAGTCAATGACAATACAATTCATTTCAATAAAAATAATTTTTTCAGCTTTCAATGCAAAGATTGTTATTCAGCTACTAAGGAAACCAAATACATCAGTAAATTGTACCAGCATTTTCTAGTTCAAGTATGAAAACACCCATTGAAACGCACATTTCCTTGTGAAGGCCATTCTGAAAACCCCTGAAAGACTACATAGCATTCATATGATAATTTACACTCTCATAGTCCAAAACGAAAAACTGGCAAACAAAGATAACCAGCAACATAATCTTTCACACAAGCTAGACATCTACATAATCATTGACATTGACAGTATTACTGATTATTATTATTTTTTTTTACAGGAAAAATTTGCCAAAAAAAAAGTTCATTACTTGTAAATACAAATACATCAAAACATGCTACATAAAATTTAGTTCATTATTTGGAAAAGCTTGATGTGTATATGAAAAGGAAATTAGCACATATATATATATATCTTAATAAAAAAAGCAATCTGTGTTAATACTAGTATTAAAGAAAAACAAAATTTCAGTGCATGGTACTACATAAAATTTCTCAAAGAAACATACTGGTATTATCTTTAAATAAAGGTAAGGGGAAAATCCCGACACACATTTGTTATCAGAAAAAAATTCGTATCATTCACAAAAATTGACAAATAAAATATATACTTTAACAAATACATCAGATCTTTCCTGAAATTTGGGAAGTATTGTGTAAAAATGAAGTCCTTGCTACTGCCATAATTTTCCACATTTTTTTAAAAACATGCTAATTTAATAGACAAGTTTAATCCCAAAACAATTATGCCAATATATATATATATATATATATAGTATATAACGAAAAAAACAAACAAAGAATCTATTTACCTATCCTATCAAAGAGCAATAACTACGGTATGTTATATTCGCCTCTACCTATGAACCATCTTAAACTTTCATGTCATAGTTACTACAGTATGTATTAAACATTCACTTCAACTTAACAAGTTCTATATTTTTTACAACAAATGGGATGTAATTTCTAAACCCTTTGCTCTTTCCTTATTTCTGTGCTACTGTTGAGAGACAAAGTTAAATATTTAAGGTACACTTCTTGTCAACAGCTATTTTCTTATCATAAATAAAAACCAGAAATTCTTCACAGAAAAAAAGTCTGAAGATCCTAACACACAATACATCATGCCATACATCTTAGTATTTCCTAATTAAACTTTTCATAGGTACGACAATAAACTAGTGATGTTTCTCTTCATTTGCTCAGAAAAAAATTAATTCCTGACAAATATTTTCCTCATACGTAGCTTCTGCTTCTAGTTGGTCTTTAGTGTGGAAAAACTTTTACTACGTGTAAATAGCTTGATACTCTTTTGTAGCAAACTTCACTGTGTTTTGTCATAAGTCATCAGAATTAACAACTGTATGTTAATTAACTACTATTCATAATCAGCATGTAAATGAAATATCAAAATGTATTCACAAAAACATGAGAACAAAATTTTAAACATACATATTTCATAATTGGGTGAATATCAACACAACAATAGGAACATCAGAATGGTGAGTACTACATGCATATTTCTGCGTGTGTGTGTGTTTGTGTGTATATATAAAACTTACATATATTTTCATGTACAACTTGATTCATTAGTAGTGTTTAAAATGTCCAGATGTACTATAGTTATACAAAAAATGTTATACTATATCTTTTATGCTGGATGAACATAGGAAACTCGTATTGTTAAATATCCCACTCTTTCAGTTTACCTAGTTAAGATTGAAGCAGAAGGTACAATTACAGAATAGTTTTGCAATTGTTAACACACACACACACCTGCATTATTAGATACATTTTAACAGACATGTTTTCGTCAGTGATTTGTATTATACAATTTATAATCCTAAACTGTTCTATAACATTCACGAAGTTTTTGCTGAATACATTTTTCAATAACATAGAAAGCTACATGAAAAAAAAAATATTTTGATATTTATTTTAAAGTTAACTGACTAGGAAGTTTTGAAAACACCCAATTTGTGAATATCAGATGAAAGTGCTTGTATCACGATGTAAAATAGATAATTTTTCAATTAATTTTTAACAACTAAATGTGTTAAAAATTCATTAAAATCTCTACTAGAACATTTTAAGTGTCGCCATGAAAGAATTCACATTTAATAATTTTAATCTTTGAAGAAGTCAAAATGTCTCTAGTTACACTGCATAAGTTGAATTAGCAAATGTGTTTCTCTGTTATTATTCAGATCTTTACAAAAACCTGACGATCCAATCTGAATACACAGACTTTAAATGGTGGCTCTTAATCACACAGGCATGAAGAAATTTTGAAGATCACACAACTCCTAATAGTTTATACATAATACACACTACTCTTTCCCATACTTAGTGTTTACTCCAAGCAAACTTTTCTATGGTATGAGCTAGTGATAAATGAGGTGTAGGTGGTGCTTTAACTCAATCAACAAACCTCTTGTTGTTATTTGATTTTAATAAAATGGAAGGCAGGTAGGTTGAGCAGGTCACCACTAGATGGAATGCTACATGAGGCACCAGAGGTTAGATTTAATGTCATGCATAGCTAGTGGTCTGGTCTGCCTCACATAGGTACTTTCCTGAAAATATAAAGAACAGTTTTATTAGTATCCTTAAAAACACAATAAATACATCAACTGCTACAAAGCACAGGGGAGAGGGCTTAGCAAATGAACTGGAAAGGTAAGAAGACCTATATACTTATACTTTTAAAGACAGATGTGAATTACTTTTCACATCATAAAAAACAGAAGTCTAATTTGTTTTACTTTCATATTCTACTCGTTTATATATAATTTATAATAAAAGAAAGTAATACCAACTAGAACGGCACTCAGTACAGCTCATACTTCCGCCATGCAGCGTCGATCATAAAAAAATATGAAAATGTGTCTGTCATTATCAGAGGACATGGACCATTTTTAGCACAACAATGAAGAATAACATTCTACACATGTCCACCAAGTTTCTTCAAACTCCGATCATATTTGACTGAGGTATAGAGCATAAATAGTGTGAAAAATTGATCTACATGTTAACAAATAGGGATTTTTTGGATTTTCATAAGCTTGCTGCGACTTTTACCTTTGACTCTCCTAAAACTAACCACTTCTAAGTTGGGTCATAGTCCAAACGTATACCAACTTTTATCTATATCTAGTCAGTCATTTTCGATAAATCTTGCTGACATACACACAAACAGAGGTGAAAACATAACCTCTGTCCACCTTTGGTGGTGAAAGTAATAATAATGTAACTGATTAAGTCATAGTACTGGTTAGTCACTTTTGACTAAGAGATTCAACTTTTTTTGAGTACCCTCTCTGTTACTTCTCGTTGCAATTTGAATAATGAGGCGTAAAAGAATTATCATTCGAACTTACTTTAACATAGATTTTAAGATAATTAGCAGGTACAGGGAGTCATTTAGTCTTTAATAGAATTCTCAATATGTCACCACCTTATCACAGGTAATATGTAGACTGGAACATATAACACATTCTTTTACAGTTTCATCTAACTCTCTTTTTTTTTTTTTAACTAGATATATTATGAATCATTTGTTTATCATCACCAAACCTGTGATGGCAGTCATCTTGGAAATGTATACTGCACAGTGAAAGAAAATATACCCTTTTTTTTTGACAGTATAACTATATGTAATTGGTTATACTTAGTCAGCAGTATGAGCAGGGTTTCACATTAGCAGAGGCTAGCTCGCAAAATGCCATTTGATTTTAGTGACCACTAAGGGGGAACCGAGTTTTTTTTTTTTGCTGGTTGATAATTCAAGTAAGATTATGAATACTCAGAACAAATGTATACAAAGTTCAAAATTATTAAAAAATAGTGAAAAAAGGCTGGCTACAAACACTACATTTATGGAAAAAAAAAATACTATGATGATCAATCAATAATCCTTTTCCAATATCCAACATTCTTCACAAACATAAAAAAGTAGTAAATGTTTTCCTAACTTAGGTACCGCTAACAAGTAAACATCCATTTATTTTGTTTAAATATATTTTGTGTACTATCAAGTTTCACATACCCATGGTTCCCACGCCTTGGGCGGAATGGAATTCCATGACTTTTCCAAACTAAAATATCTTGTTCCCTGACCATTTGATCTATCCTTGTAATGTATCATCGAATTATAATAATATGTGAAACCACAAAACATTATTTACGTGTTCTTTAATAAAGATAATAAAGGCTTATGTTATTTGTTTCAATATGATTGGTCACACCATTCTCAAATTATTATATTATTTTATCAGAACAAATGCAACAAAGGCAGTTTACTGATTTGTTTATGATTGTGCACATCTCGTTTAAATCACAAAAATTTTATTACAGCGTAAACAACAATATAGATTTTTAACATTTGTGGTTATTACTTTTTAATGCAAAGAAGAACCACATTTATAGTTGTAATTTGGAATATCCTTTAACAGATATGCTTCTCATATGTCAAATATTTATTAAAATAATATTTGCTGATGTGTGTGTGTGTACATCCATAAAAATGTACAAAACTTTCAGTTACTAATCGTACGCTACAGAAAACGCATATTTCTGAAGCCTATAAAACAATTGCGTATGTTAATGAAATCATCCCATGATTCAGAGCATATTTTACTATTTTCACATGTGCTTTGAAATCAAGTTAATATACAAAATCTTTGAAATAATGTGACTAAATTGAAAATTTACCATTCTCTACATCTTTATAGCCTCAACTGTAACGTACTTGATGAACTGAGAACATTAATTATAGGGTTTAGCTTATAAATGAGAAAACACTTTTATTTGGAAGCTCTGTTCATCATTGGCCTTGGCTAGGATCTTAAACAAGATGGAATGGACAACAATCTCAAAAAAGAAAGAAAAGTATTTTACAAAATCTACAAAGTGCTTTATGGCCTTAACTAGGCTTTAACTGAAATCAAATTGTAATCTAAGTTTGTTTACATTTAGTTCTATGATATTAGATTTGAGTCTTTCAAAACATAACTTCATTAACGTGCAAAGTTACAAAGAGTTTAGTACAGTTATGACATGCATGTTTCACAAATACAATTTTAGAAGCCTTTATTTTAATCTAAAAAAGAAAGAAAAACACAAGAGACATGCATAAACTAGATTAGATACGTTTTAAAACACGTTTGCCGAATTTAAGTCTTTTTTACTCCTTTAATCCTACTATAAAACAATATTTTTCCTTCTTTTATGCATACAATTATGATATTACCTGCCATCACCTGCTTCTTGACTAATGACAGACGATAGCCTGTGCACGCAAGCTCAAAATCAGCACCAGAGAGAGATGTTCCTTGACACGAGAACTGGGCTATGAGGGTACCAGGTGTGGAAGGGCCAGTACTTAAGTCGAACCTGGCCCGCAAGGACCCAATACCTGCTCCTTCAGAGCGGTGAGAAAGTTCTGGTATCCGCCATATCACCCGTTGATTTTCAGCATTCCTAAAATAATTGTAGTTCCTTTAATATTTCCCCTTGTTGGGTGTATATACAACTTGTAGGTTTGTATAAAATAAGGAAAGTAAAATTAATTGTTAATACATACAATACACTTTTTACGACTACACACCTCCCAATAACTGAATATTATTGTGGTAATTCAAGGTTACACTTGTGCACAGTTACCTCATCCAAAATAAGGGGTTCATGGATCTATCATGCAGAAAAATGTGTAGTGATTTGTGACTGGTGGGATAAAGAGACAATACACAATGTGGAAATTAAAATAAAACACTTTATTTTCTAATATAAAGAAAAAAAAAGGCTTAAAAGTGTACAAGTGATTGAGAAAGGAAAATAAATTAAGGCAATAATGGGTTACATTTAATTAAACTGAAGTGGAAAGTAACACAAAGAAAGAGCTTCTACAGTAAGTCTTGACTTCTTCAGCACAGAAGCAAGTCTGCCCTTCTCTGAATGGCTCTCTCAAGAGGTACCAAATTTGGAATTGCAAAGCCTATTCTCATGAAAAGGAGCATCAAATTATGGAATTTTTTTCTGCTCCATGTGACAATCACAAGGTATCTTCCAAATACAATGTCAAGAAGGACATAATGAAACTATCTCACAAAGCAGTACAATGCTATGGGAATGTACAGAGAAGCATCAGAGACGTCAAACTTGGTCATCTACAGTCCTGGTAAAAAATGCCAATGACTACATTGTGAACCTTAAAGGATCTAGAAATTGATGTAGATGAGAAAGATCAAGGACCAGAAACCAATCTCCTGTCTTCTTGGGCACAACAAACAGATGGGAATAAATCCCTGGAAGAACTTGGACGACTCACTCCACTGCCTTTTAACAAACAGATCCCAGATATCCCTCAAATGAAGTTCCAAATTCCGAGGATCTGCAAGAAGCAGAAACACCACAGGTTGGGTAGATAACAGTGGTCTGAGCTACTACAGACCCCAAAGGTATATGATAGCACTGTCACCACTGATGGAGATCTGATTGAGCAGAGGAACCTTGTGGATATGGATGGAATCTATTCTGGGTACCAAAGGACCGAGGGGCTGATGTCAGGGGTTGCGACACTCAAATAGGGGCAGAACTACGAACCCCTGTTAGAGCTGAGGAAAGTCGTGAAGCCAACGACAACAGGGACGAATACAGATGGGCAACATTAACCCTTGATTCCAAAGACTCTGGAACACCTGTAAAAACCAAGGGTTGGAGAAAGGAGGCCTTATGTAACTCACAGAGGGTGGCATATGGTAGACGAATGCCTCCAAAAATGCATTTCTACCCCAGAAATCCCAACAACATACCAGCCCATAGACTAGGGAAAGTGCAGAAGCTGACAATCGAACCAAGGTAGATGCTAACAATGATCCCAACTCATCATTAAAATATGTGGTGATCCCTGAGATGCTTCCGACAAAAGTGGGAGGGATGGTAAATATCTTAGCACTGCAGTTAAGGTAAGAGAAATACTAGAATATGTGATCTCTTCAGGTTGATCACAGACTGTTCTGGAACCTCAAATTTCCAGGAGGGGGTCTATTCTTTGAGAGTCTAAATACGCATCCTCCTAGAAGGGGTAAGCTAAAGCACATTGATCCAACAAACGTAGCAGACAAGGCATAGTTGTTCCTTCACATAACTGAGCACTAAACCACCTTGCATGAATCACAATTTCACAGGGGATGGAGGGAGAAGTAAGTATTCGTCCTCAGACCTTTCTGTCATTAAGGAAGGTGCAGACTCAAAAGCAACCAGGGAAAGACCCAAAACATCACACATTCGATTAACCAACTGAAGAAAAGGAGCCAGAGTCTGCTGATTCGAATTTGGCCTCCTGAGAAGCCAACAAAATAAAAAAAAAGCTGGTAAAAGTGAATCTAAATTCTCTCCAGAATGTCCAGTATCAGGATAGTGGGTGCATTGAGATAGGTAGAGAATGTCACAAGACAGATATCATCAAGGGTAGTGAAGTGGGGGAATCAAAGACTATAGAGTAAGTGAGAAAATATCAGACAAATGCTTAGATGGGCAAAGGAAGGAAAACCCTAGCAATCGAGTGATAGCTGTAGTGTGTATAATTTACAAAACCAGCGTAATTTTGAAAGTAACCAAGCTATATTTTTTATACATTTGAAAATCAAAAAAGTTTTTCTACACCCAGAACAAATATACTGTCATTAATTTATACATTTTATTTAAGATAGAGAGATTTTACAGGTATTTGTACTCTTCAGTGATTAATACATTTTAAGGATTATCTGGTGACAAGTAATCATGAAATAATTTTTTATTCCTACCAGGTACCAGATGGCTTGGACTGCATGTCATTAACACCACCATCAACAGGTACTATAACTGTGATGTTAGACACTGGTGTCATGCTTGCAAGTGCTGATGGGTTGTACTTGTAATCAATCCTAAGGTTTGTTGTTCTAGGTTCACACTTCCAGTAAGCCACTAAGTGAAGTGGAGTACTTTTTGCACCTGGTAAAGACTTAATCTAGAAAAATTCCAAAGATAAAACTTAGATACCTAATCCAAAAAACATTTTATGTAGTTTATTTTGTTTCTAAACAGACTTTTATCTGAATCTATATATTATTTTTCATAAAAGAAAAGGTAAAAAAAAATTATTTTGTTGCTATTAAATTGTGTTAAATTGATTAACACCCAGTCTACGAGTCAGGTAAACATTTTTCGTGTTGATTCCTGAGCAGAATTTTCTGATACTCTTTTTAAAATTCTGAATAGAGATTTGAACACTTTATAACATCTGGAATCTGAAGTGCCCATCAGTATGGCAAAATTCACAATACAATCTTCCACAGAAAATACAGCAGTTGTAACATTGCACAATACAAGATATGGTTCCCAAGCTCTATCAACCCATTTTCTCCGCGATTTTTACAGGTGCTGTCAACAGAGATGGACGAGGAAGGCTCAATAAATCTTTGTTGCTGCTGTAAAGTGGCTACATGTGGTACCTGCCTGAAATAAACACTTCTACTACAAGGTATGCCAAAAGAAGTGTAGGGCTTTAAAATTGCAACAATCAACAACAACATTTATCGGTATAACTGTGTTTATTATTTATGAAACTGCAGCTGAATAAGATTTCTTGTAACCATTAAGTATGAAAAAATAATGCCTGGCAGGCATCCACAAAATGCTACACACTGGCATACTTTGATGATGACACCTTCTGTTGAGAGCACAGAGTTTCATGCACAAGGCCATTAATTTCTGTCTTCATGTTATCTTTCAAATCCTGTTGTGTCTGTCGCTTGTTGATATACACTCTGTCCTTTAAGTAACCATAACAAAGGTAGTCTGTCACTCACAAATCCAGGGATTGTGGAGGCAGTTTATGTATCCATTATGAAAAATTACCCTGTTTGGGAACAGGTCACACAACACTGCTCATGATGTATGCAAGGTAGTTAAAACCATAATTCTCACTGATGACATGTTCAGAAAGTTCTTGATGGTATGCTCTTTAAGCAACAGTGATGGAGCATTCATTTTGAAATAAAGCTCAAGAATAAGAGAATTCTGTTAGATTTCCCATCTGTTCACCATTAAAATTTGAACCTTTAATCTTCATTCAGAATAAAACAGACAATGTTTTTCATTAATATTTTGGAAAATTCAAATATATAAAATTCCTACACTTCTTTTGGCAGACCCTGTGCTTTGTGCACAAAGAACACAGTCTGGCCAACCCCTAAACTCCACATCATTGTGAATTAACAATCTTGACAGGAGAGTTATATTAGCAGTAAACTGTGGTTTTTTGAGGTTAACAGCCCTTTATTGGAGTACATTTTTTTGGTTCTAAGGTGAATACTGGAAACCATGACACCTCTCTCTGTTATCTCTTTCTGAGTATTTATCATTTGGTGTACAAGTTTGAAATGACTTCTCTGTGAACCGCTGATCACCCTTATAGGCCGAACCATTTTCCTGCAATCAGAGGTTTATCCCATGACATTTGGTTGGATAGTGTGTGTGTATGTGCTATTCATTAATTAAATAAAGACCAGTGTGGAAAAGAAAACTGCTTTTATGTTTTATTACACAACATTATAGTTTTGCAATTTTGTGTGATTTGAAGTGTTCAGTATGTTAAAGTGGTAACACTGAGCCTGTGCTATTTATATCGTTGTTTTGCTGTAGTATACATATAATTATTGTAACAGTAGTAAAAAAACTTTCATTTTCATATATGTTTAACATCCAGTCTGCAACTTGATTAAACATATTTCGAGTAGGAATGGGTGGATAACATTTTCAGATGGGAAGGATAGTTGGATGTCATTTGGGGAAAATGTCTGTACTTGCTATTGTACAACAATTAAACATTCCCAGGTTGACAATTGGCAACGTGCTAAGAAACAGAAGTCCGCAGGTGACAATGAGCCCACGAAATGACCAGGTAGGTGTAAAAACTAAGAATATCACCAGCTTTCCATGATGCATTGAAGTAGTCATTAAGGTCAAAGGCGGGCCAACACGCTAATAATTTCTTTGAATAAAGACATGTTTTATTCATAACTACCCTCACTCAAATAAAGTCTGTCCACAGAACTGATCTCTTAGTCATGACACAACCACTTTTTGAAGTAATTAAACATTTTCATGCCTGAGCATAAAACCTAGCACTTCTCATACACCAAGAGTGCACCTCAGAAACACATTAAGGTGAAAAGGAAAATTTTTAGCCAAAAGCTTGTGAATTAAATGAAAAGAAATATGGAAACACACATATACTATTCATATTTTGATACATCAATATCTGAAATCTTGTAAGTTCTTTTACAAGCTTACATTGTAAAATAAGCCCTTAGAATCACATTTTAAACTTAAGAAATATCTATGAATAACCTGTTGAAAAAATAGATGCTCAATAATAGGGTTGGTTAAAGCATTTTTTTCAATATTCAAAATAATTTATGAAAAATAGTATGTCTGAAATCTTATACAAAGTTTTATCTAAAGATAAAACTATATGAAAGAAAAAACTTGTATGCTTAACAAAACTTAACAAAGCTAAAGGTTAGTTTAATTAAAAAACACTGCAAGTTTTCATATATCTGCTAACCTCAGTTCTTACTGTTTTTGTTCAGGTGATCAGTAACAACAAAAATGCACAGAAATAAAGTACAACAATGGCCTGAACCAAACAAAACAAAACCTTAGTTTACATGTTACAGTACATGTATAAGCTTAAGTAGACTTACTGTAAGAATTGTACATAGCCTGACACTCACCATTATTACACATATATCAATAATTACACAAACTAGAACAATGTGATTGGACACTACTTACAAACAAACAAACATGATACAATTAATTTTTTAATTACAGTCACAATCTTAATATATTTTAACTCATCCTAAAGTAATTTTCCAGTAATTTCAATGAAACTAAAATATGCAAGTACCCACATGATATTTTAAAATGTCAATGTTAAAATATGATGCATTAGGTGCTTGTTCATACTGCTTCCTCAATAGTCCTGTCAAGGCCGGCATATTGAACTCAAACAAGTAGCTATCAACTGTTGACTGACTGGTGTCTCTAGAAAAATAACAAGCTTTTCAGCTTCTACTTGAATTATTTCAAAGATGAGCTTTAACCTATTTTAAGCTAACTATATTAATCTAATGTCCTTGAATATGTTATATTTGTTTCAACAAGAAAAATAAACAAAAAAATCTTACTAAATATGGGAATAATTTTCATAAACAAAAACCTTAAGAGTTTTGATATATATTCAATACAAATATATACAAAACAAATGTCAGGTGCCCCCAAAACACAATATGATATGATCATTCTGAGAAACTACCAGAAAAAAGAGAAATAAAATGTTACATTTCTGCTAAATCTTCTTTGCAAACTTTTAAGTAATCTGCTTGTTATAAAGTTCAGGTTACACGTCTGCAATATGGAGACTTAAACCCTTTTATAACAAACATG